AAAATTAAACTAAAATACAGAGCCCCCCCGGACCGGCGGCCAGGACCCGGGCAGTGTGAGTGCCACTGAAAATCAACTCGCGTGCCGCCTTCGGCACACGTGCCATAGGTTGCCTACCCCTGGGCTAGGGGGATAATATGGGAGAGCCTCAGTGTCCAGCAGGGCTGGGGGTATAATGTGGGTGAAGGGCTCCCCCAGCATGAAGGGAAGAGCACATAGATCCCAGGAATCCTGGCTCCCAGCCTGCGTGCTGTAACCAGTAGGGTGACCACATTTTCCTAAAGGGAAAATGGGACACCCCATGGGGCCAGCCCTGTATGAGGCCAGCCTGAGGAGGCCACCCTCCTGTACATGGGGCCGGCCCAAGCTGCTCTCTGGAGCGGGTCTGGTGTGGCCACTACCCCCCTCCTCCACAGCCCGCACAGCATTGCACCCCATGTTTTTGGCAAAACTGTGTTTGTTCAGTTTGCTCTTGGGACAAATACACCATTTTGCAGAAAGTCGGGATGGTTGGGACAGGATTTAAAAAAGGACTATCCCGGACAAAATGGGACATATGGTCACTCTAACTAGATCTCCTCCCTTCCCTGAGCTGGGATGGAACCCAGGAGTCCTGATTCCCAGGCCTGCAGCACCCCACCCCCCTTTGTGGCTGCCAAGACTCATGGGATGCCACCCCCCAGCCCGTGCTTTCTAGGGCGAGGCTGATGGGGGGAAGGGGAGGCAACAGCGCCCCCTGGGGACCTGGTCCGCTCCCGACTGCTTCCCTTCCGCCGGCCTTGCAGGCTGGAAACCCCTAGTCCCGGAACCAAATCTCCTGACTCTTGTTTCCCCCAGTGCACACCCCTACAAGATTACCGGAAGTAGTTCCTCCCGGGAAGATTAAAGAACACTCCAAAGATGGCGGCGCACTGTGGCCATTTCCCCCTCCCCTTCCGCTTTCTCCCTCAGTTAGGAGCTTCTCGGTACAGCTCCTGAGGCAGCCTCGTTTCCGGGGCATCCCGGCGCGAGGACACCACCACCCTCCGGAGCGGCGCGCAACCATGTGGAGGCGACTCGCGCGTCCTCTTCGCGCGCTGCCAAAGGTCCCCGGAGGTCAGAAGGTCGCCAACCGGCCTTATGCGGGGGCGGATTTAAAGGGCGAGCGCCCTTTCCAGGCTCTATGAGCCGGGGATGGTCCCCCGTTGGGCGCTGCCGGGGTGTTGTCCGCCCAATGAGGGGTTCTCCTTGGCCTAGTGTCCCTCGCCGCCCACCGTCCAGCCTTGGCCTGAATCACGCCAACATCCGTTCCACTGGAAGGCACCGTTCATGGGGGGCTGGGAGCCCGGACTCCTGGGTTCTATCCCAGTTCTGGGAGAGGTTACCAGTGGGGTTCTATCCCTGTCCCCATTTGTAAATTGGGTGCATGCCACTTAGCCTCCTCTGAGAAGCGCTTTGAGTTCCTCTGTGAACGGTGCACTGTTAATGCACCATATTAGAGTTTCATTCTGTGCTGGGGATCTAGGTCATGTTTCAGTGATGGCCGGTGATAGTCTCGGCTCTGTGTCTCCTAAGGGCCAAGGATCTGTGCAAGGTCTTTCTACATCTCCTCTCTTTTATTTTCCAGATCCTTTTTCTGCCAGAGTCCTCAGTGCTGGCCTGAAGAGCTATGTGCTTCCCCAGGATTATACCAGTGAGTGCTGGGCATGGAGAAATGCCAACACAGAAGGGCAGCGGGTGTCTTGTAATGTTAGACACATTTGTCACCTTCCTTGGAAAAGTGTTGGGGGAAGGTGTTAAGTCCCTGTGGGGGGCTGGAGTGGTAGGTGAGGGGAGAGCACTATAGAAAGCATATTACTAATTTTTGAAGTGTGATAGGGTATTGTCTAAGTGCATCATCACCATCTCTTGGGGGAGCACTGGTTATCTAGGAGGCATGTTATTAATCTCGCTTTGGAGGGTAGAGGAAGCGTTTTGTAATCCTTGCTGTCAGGGAGCAGTGTATCAATTATTATTTTTTAATAGCTTTGGAAAATATACCTAGTTGCATATCTCCCTTGTCAGGAGAACACACCATTTGCTCTAGGTTATCCTATTTCTTTTGTAAACACCTGGGGAGAGGAGTCATGTACCATTTTCTAAAGGCCAATGCACTTGGGTTTTGGACCAGTGTGGGAAGTAGACAGAATCTAGGAGCTTTGAGCTAACAGGTCCCCTGCCTCTCCTCACCCTGTTGTCTAAATGCCTCCCACATATTTGTATTTCTCTCTTGACTCCAGGCAAGACTGAGTAGTAGTAATTTTTGCTAGCTGCTCTTCATCCAAGTGCTGATTTTGGCTTGATATTGAAATAAGAGGGAAGCTCTGCTGGTTATGTTTGATGTAAAGAAGCAGTAAAGCTGGTACTTAGGCCTGTCTACACCTAAAATTTAGGTTGACCTAGCTACATCACTTAGGGCTGTGAGAAATTTCCACACAGTTAGGTCAACCTAAACCGCACTGTAGATGCAGCAAAGGAGAGAAGAAGACAACCACCAATCATGGACCTTCAAGTGTGTCATCACCTCAACCTAGCTATCGTCTCTTGGAGGGGTAGACTATCTACGTCCACAGAAGAACCCTTCTGTCGACGTAGGAAACGTCTATATTACTGTGCTATGGAAGCACAACTGCAGCACTATAGCTGTGCTGCCGCTGTAGTGTAGCCATACCTTTAGGTCTATATTGGCTCACCAGCCTCTTCCACCACCATCATGTAGATGTTAGATAAAATGGAGGAGAGGAACGGAGCTTTATGGGACTGCTTAGATGAGGGCTTTGAGGTGGAGGAACAGTAATCCATAACCACCCTCAGGGTTTGGTATGAGAGGACAGACCTTTGCCATTTCAAGATGTCTCATTCATCCCTTCAGCTTCAAGGAGGTGGGATGGGAATAGTTGGGGATAAATAGCAGGAGGCCCTATCGTTCTCAATCTGCCACCCTAAAAGGAAGCATTAGTGACTGAGAGAATTGGCAGTATTATTACTAGTGTCGAGAAGTAGTTTCTTAAGCAGAGGACTAACCCAAGCTGCCTTCTTGCCTTTCCTTAGAGAAATCAGTGTTCACAGTAGAGCCAGTGTCTCCCCTTGCTTGATTTAACATAACTAGTTGTAAGATACATAGGCTTAGGTCCCTGGCCACAGAGTTTCAGAAGCTCAGTGAGGAAAACTGGCTGATGTTCCCCTACTGACAGTTCCATATTTGCACTCTGTAGCTACAGATCTGTACCCACCAGACCAGCTGCCCCAGTGAAAAAGTGGAGGTGAGGCATGCTGACACCTCTTTTTGTTCATCCTTCCAGACATCTCCATCCCTGACCGACCCAAACTGAAGTTCATAGACAAAGTTCCAAGTGTACCTAAAGTGAGGCGGGAATTCAAAAACCTACGTGACATCCGTGGCCCATCCACTGAGGCTACTGAGTTCACCCAGGGACAGTATGGCATTTTGGTGAGTGGGAGAGGAGGGGAGATACAAATTGGGGTCACCTTTGGGTTGATTCAGCCAGAGCAAGAAAAACAGAACCCCAGGAGCTGATCTTTTCACCCAAGGCAGCTGAGACCATTAGGGCTTACTCCATCCAGGATGAAGACATAAGCCAAATGAGGCCAAGAGAGAGTATGGAAGTGGTATGAGTGAGAACAACTGTAAATGGGTGGCAGAAGAAGCCCCTTCACCTGTATTTGAGTCATAACTCCTCCTGTGCTTGTGCTCTCTCTCTCCTCTCTTGCAGGCATTGGGTGGTGGTTACCTTCATTGGGGTCACTTTGAAATGATGCGCCTAACCATCAATCGTCACCTGGATCCCAAGATCATGTTTGCCGTATGGCGCATCCCAGCCCCTTACAAGCCCATCACCCGCAAGAGCCTAGGCCAGCGCATGGGTGGGGGCAAAGGTGCCATTGACCACTATGTGACAGCAGTGAAATGTGGCCGCCTCATTTTGGAAGTGGGTGGGCACTGCGAGTTCGGGGAGGTGGAGCACTTCCTCACACAGGTGGCCAAGAAGCTGCCGTTCCCAGCCAAGGCAGTCAGCTGCCAGTCCCTGGAGGAGATGTACCAGGCGGAAAAGGAAAGAAGATGCAAAAATCAGAACCCCTGGACATTTGAGCGTATCATCACCTCCAACATGCTGGGGATCCGCAAGGTTCTGAGCCCCTACGATCTGACACAGAAGGGGCGCTACTGGGGCAAGTTCTTTCTGAAAGACAGAGTGTAATGACCAAGTGGGGGTAGGAGGGGAAAAAATCTCAGGGACAGGTGCCTGGAAGGAACCTTGATCCTCCTTCCTCAGCAGGTGTGAGGTCCCTCCTGAGTGCAGCCCATCTTGTAGTGGTAGGCTCTCCAGGGTGGGCATTACTGTGGAGATCTGCCCCTCTGCTCCAAAGGTGGCTGAGTTGTGTGCAGTAAACATGTAGGTGCAAGTTCGGGTAACCAATGATCATTTTGGATTAATAAAGCTTTCTTACAGTGGCATCGTCTTGTGCCTGTGCCTCCGTGTCCTGTGTACATTGGAGGCCAGAGGGGATGGTTAAGGGGCCATCCAAGGAGTCTCAGATCCTCTGTGGAGTATTAGGTTAGAGCCTGTATTGCTGCACATCTGACCAAGTCAGGAAGATGGTCCTCATACTGCATCATTGAAGTTCTAAGGAAACTTGCCCCATCCAACAACACTTCCTCCCAGCTGACCCACACACCCCACTACATACTGAATACACTGTAGCAGTGGTCACTGAATTGAACTCTTTATTCAGAAAGAGGCTTCTGTATAGATGATTGTGCCTTTAGAACAGTAACTATACAGATAACAGCTGATATAAATTCAGGGTGGGGGTTGTCTTAAGCACTGAGTGAGGCAGAGTCTCCTCTGCTCCACTTAGAGCTGACCCTCGAGGGGAACATGTCATTTGCCCTCTGTGTAACTGGGGAGGGATCATTAGATTTCATAGAGGTCTCCCTCTTTCTGAAGACTCTCTCACTAGTACAAGTAATGGAGGGGAAAGCAACCCTGGAGCTTTCCTCATGTGGATAGACAAGGACCCAAAGGAATAGAAGCATCAGGAGATGTATGGAGTGACAGCATCCTACTGCAGAAATGATTTATCTGAGGAGAGGGGGAAAACAAACAACAAATACGCTCAAGTTGACACGGTTTGGGGGTTCAAAATAAGTGACAAACTTTCAGGTGAAAGATTTTTCTGTAGGATAAATGAGACTGTCCCACAGCTAAACAAGGGAATACAGTCTATTTTGTGACTTAAGGGCTGGTCTAGACTGGCGGGGGGGAAATCGATCTAAGATACGCAACTTCAGCTACGAGAATAGCGTAGCTGAAGGCGACGTATCTTAGATAGACTTACCTTGCGTCCTCACAGCACGGGATTGATTGCCGCAGCTCCCCCGTCAACTCCGCTTCTGCCTCTTGCCCTGGTGTTCTGGAGTCGACGGGGAAGGCGTTCAGGGATCAATTTATCATGTCTAGATGAGACGTGATAAATCACTCCCCGGTGGATCGATTACTACCCGCTGATCTGGTAGACCCTAGCTGAGTGAGTGAAGGGCTTAACTGCCTTCCAAGTGTCAGTGATTCAGGTCAAGCATGTTCTGATTCCCACCCTCAGCAGCAGGAGTGGACTGGGAAAGAGCCAGAGAAATAGGGGTCACAGGAATCAGAGTGAAAACAGCTATATTGCTCATCTGGGGAAAGATGTTCTGACAGTTCAGTGCCTGATCACGCTTTTGATGTACTGACAGTTACAATGTCAGATGCGGTCTTTAATCCCTGTCCACCAAGGAGGAGAACTGAGTCTCCCAGAGCAACAGAGGCAGGACTGTGCCATTCCCCACCCTTCAATAAGTTTGTGCTGAGCATACACATTCCATTGAATGGATGTCCTCTGCTGGCTAGTCACTCTTCACACACAAGTGGGCAGAAGGAGCCACTAGGACTAAGAACAGAGTTGAACTAAAAGGTTGATATTTAGAAGCACTTTAAACAGCCAATAAACGTGGAGTCTGAAAATGGTTACATTGGAAGATGAACTTCCCTTCGTGTCAGCTAGAATCATCCCCATGGTGTCTTGTTTGGTTTTGTCTTTGCGGCCCATCCTCCCTGTTCTATTCCGGCTTCCTCTGCCCCTCCAGCCAGGAATGCTCTGAATGGTGAATATCTGACAGATAGGGTCCACTGGCCAGGCCTGTGACTTCTCCGTAAAGAGGAGGAGGTAGAGCTGGTGAGAAATCCAGATGGGAAAGAACATTTGACGGGTGGCACCAGGGTGCAGAGTGGAAGAACGGTGAAAGGCCATCTGCAAATCCATCTGAAAAATCAGAGCAAGAGAGACACCAAAGGAGAAAGGACAGATGAATCTTGCAATTCCATCTACCTCACAGTCCCCTTTTCTGTCAGTAACCTACCATCCCTTGTTCTTTTTGACATTGTCCTCTTGATCATCCTTTAGGCTTGGCAGTTATGTTCCTAAATGGCACTTCCTGCATGCTCCTCAACTTTCCTTTCCTTAGATGCTGAATACAGCAGCTAGACACCTAGCAGGCTGCCAGTCTAGACCCCTCTTTCCCCGCAACCAGAATAAGGGCATAAAGCAATCACAGTACAGGGAACACAACCCAGAAGTACAAATACTGACTGAACCAAACACCAGCTCCCACCCTGCTGACCCATCGCACCGCTACATCTGGCTCACCTGTGGTGGGGGTGGGCAGGAGATGGGCACTCAGGCGAAGATGCCCCCAATGGTGGAAGCCAGGATGATGGCCAGGATGATACAACAGATCATGATCATGATCTTCTTCTGCTCGGCGAGAGAGAGAAATGTAAACAACACACAGTACATGCAGTGGACTTACAGTGAACTATAAATGGAAGTGAGAGGAGAGGGAAGGGTCACCCATCCTCCATGTGTCACAAAGAGCAGAGGAAGGGGGGCCATCACTTTGGGCTGGAAAAGAGGAAAGGGATCCATGGGTAGTAGGACGGAGATGTGGAGGGAGGGAGTGGGGCTTTTCTTTCACAGAGAACAGAAAAAGTTTTATCCTTGGTGCTGGTGGCTCTCGTGGGAAATGATCGCTTAGTGAGCTCATTTCCCTTCCCCTCAACTCACGTGCCATGCAGAAAAAGCAAACTCCAGCCATGTGCTCTGATGCCATCATTACAGGGGCCACATGAATAGCTAAATAGGAACTAGCCTGCCCCGCACATACAGCCATGCAGAATGTCATGCCCCCAAGGAAAAGACACAACACCCGTTATCTCATCTTACCAGAAGCACTGGATACTGCACAGCAGCGGAGGAGAAACCCCAGCCAAGTTTTCTGATCCACGTGGATGAAGTGGAGAGGCGAGGCCCTTCTGGAGACTTGGAACAACAGGCCAGCCTGGGTGGGTGGGTGGGGTTCTCTCACCCTTTCACCTCCCCAAGGTTCATCAGCGGAGCCAGGTGGCATGGAGATTATAAACAAAGCTCCTTCCTTTGCAGCCAAACCTGGTCACTGCTGCTATTCTGAAAGAGGAGCTGTCTCTTTAAATGTCAGTGAGTCAAGTGAAAGCAGTTCTCAGCCCAGCGCTGGAGGCTCAAAGTCCCAGTCTCATCCCCAAGGCAGTGCTGCTGTTGTGAGGCTATTTAATTCCAAATGGTGCTATCATTAACCCTTCGTTGGGCAGGTCACTGTATCTACTGCCTTTCCCCATCTGTTGCTTTACTCAGCCTTGACTCTTGCCGTGGGTTGGATAATTGGGGCAGGGCTGAGGCTGAGCAGAGCAACAGATTCCAGCCAGGAGCATTCTGAACTGGTGTATCCCAATGTTTGCATGGAGCAGTCTCTTCTAGGCCAGGACTTGGCCCCTGCGCGGTGCATTGGGCAGCACAGGCTGCATTACTCAGGTTGGGAGCTGGTGAGCCAGAGAGAACCACGGCATCTGTCCACGTCTGGCAGCCCTGCTAATAAAGTCTCCTTTACACTGGGAGGAGGGTGGCCTAGTGGCTAGAGCACTGGACTGGGACTCAGGAGCCCTAGGCTCTATTCCAGGCTCAACCACTGGGCAAGTCACTTCCCCTATCTGTGCCTCAATTTCCTCATCTGTAAAATGTGAGTAGTGATACTGACCTCGTTTTGAAACCTACTGAGGACCTGAGCTAGTTATGAATTATTACTGCCATTCATTCCAGCCAAGTCCTGTCTTTTTCTACCATGAGGGATGCAAGCCAAGGAGATAGCACCCCTGCCTCCCAGCCTCAAACCAGCCAAGAACAGCTAGGGTAACTATAGCTGGATGTTGCATTTAGGCAGTGGCGGCTCATGCAGGGAACACAACGCAGGCGAGAGCTGTTCGTGATCAAATGTAAATTCATTTATTTACTTTTTTAAATTAAAAATAAATCAAAGTAAAAAAAAAAAAAAGACACAAGCCAATACCCTCACTTGGTGAAACAATGACATTTCCCGTCTACAGAGCTTTGGGGAGTTTCAGGGGCATCTCAGGGCTGCAATGGCAACCCTGCCCAGGCAGCATGCTCCATACCCACTATCTAGAAAATCACAGACATCAAGACCTAGAGGAGAAGACGACAAATGGGAACTTCCTCCCAGCTCCGTCTGTTCACCAAAGGGTAATGGCCAAGTGCAGTCCTACATCAGGAGAGTGGGTCATGGGGCATCAAGCTGGTGAGTGCTAAGTGGGTCTAAGATGTGCAGCCTCTAGCACATCAGGAAGGATGGTGGGGGTGGAAGTGTGCACCTGGACCAGCCAGATGCTGCTAGGGCAGGGAGTTTAGCTCCCTTCACGGACAAGAATCCCCCATCCTGACTAATAAGGGCTGTCACCCCTTATCTTTCAACAAGGGGAGAGGACATTTGTCAAGTGAATTTAGTATAGCTCTTGGGCCCTGTTTATCCTCCAAGCAGGCACAACATAGGTAGGCTTCCCCCATCCCTCTGCCCTGGGAAAATCACCACTGATTCAGTCCTTAGCTTCTCTATTGAGGCTTCCAAGCAGAGAGCCCGATTGGTGTAATGGCATTTCTGCGATCCAGAGATTTGTCCACTGGGAATGGGGCCCCAAGACCTTAATCCCCCTTTCCCACCAAGGCCACCAAACGGCTGTCATGCAGCTGTTGGTCATGCCCGACTCGGGTGGATCACACCCAAACCCACATCACACCAGTAAAAACAGGCCACCCTGATTTCTGTGACAAATGCAGACATTCAGGGACTGGCTGGTAAGAGTAATAAATACACACAAGGACTCCTGATCCAGACACATTTAAAACAACATCCATGAAAACTCAACTAGCCCTGAGTAAACAGACCATTAAACATACATGCAGACACACACACACTAAAATTATATCCCCATCAGAGGTGGGCAGCTATACCCACTGGTCCCATAACCAAAGGAGAAGCCCCCAGCAAGGATCAGACAAGGTCAGTGCTAAGATTTGCAGCCCAGGAGTCACTGATCACTATTTAACAGAATATGTCACCCAACCTAAAGTTTCCAAGAGCCCCAGCCCTGCAAACCAACCACAGGGAGTATCAGAGCCTGGGCTTTGGGTTGGGTGCCAGAAGCCAATCGGATTATTTTTGTGCTTAGAACAAATAAGTAGGTGGAAACTCCAGTCGCAAAGGTTCACACTTCAAAGCAAACAGAGGTTTCGATTCCTCCCAGTTCTTAGCAAACAGGGATCACACGAGACAGGGCTTGAAGGCAACTCCTTCTGTACACAGGCACCCGCCCCTCAGGAAGGGATTAAGAGAAGCAGCCCATGCTCCGCTGGGCTTTTACTCTGCACTGAGCTCAGAGTGCTCATGCGTCCCGGTACTCCGCCACAGACCCACGTTTCAGTCCCAGCCCTGTTACCCGTCCCACCTAGTGCACTGAGGTCAGTGTCCGCATATCCTGCTCTGCTTTGCTTCCACATCCCGTCCCTAATTCTGGGGTTGGCAAAGTTGAGGACTGCTGCCAAGTCTGTCCCTGTTGATTTGACCAACGTCCCTTGTTAATCCTGGTGTCAAAGCAGCTTGGGAGTGCTGCGGATTCCGGTGCCATAGGTTTAGTGCATTGCTACACAGGAGATTCAAGATCAGGCCTATCTGCTCACTCTCCTTGGGGTTGGCAGGTCCTGGGAGCACTGCAGAGTCCAGCCTCAGTTAGTGTCCAATATGCCACACGGCCGACCCAGGTGAGCTCCCGAGCCCTGATATCTCACTCCCTGTCCTGGCTGGAGCAATTCAGAGGGGTAGTTCTTACATTCCCTGGCCTCCCTCAATAAAGATTTCAAACAATTAAAATTCCCCCTAAGAAAGATGAAAACAAGACAGGCCAGTGAGGTAGGAAACACAGTCCTGGACATTCCTTTAAGGCTCTGCTACCATCGGTGAGACTCCCGCCAGGAAACGAAATCTGACCAAAATGACATCAGGAGGAGGAACTGGGGTTGGTGGTTGTGGACTCGGAGAGGAGGGGAGAAAGGAAGGCTTGATGGCGGCTTCTCTCAAGTGCATCAGTGGTGCAGGAGACCGTTACCTCCTGGACATGGCGAAGCAAGCTCAGATCCTCCAGGAGGGATGCATCAGCTAGCTGATGAATGGGCTGGCAGTTCTCCCAAGAAGTGCTATTGGGAAAAGCTCCACCCAAAAGGGAAATGATTCACAGCAGAGCCCAGAGGGCAGGCTGCGATTAGCAGGTCCAGGGAAGGCAGGGGGAGCGGGAGGATCACGAGGGAAAAAGCTCACCACCAAGATCAGGAGTGTCTGGAGAAATTGAAGGAACAAGGGAGAAATCAATTCACATCTGAGGGCAGGCCAGCAGGGTAATATTAAACATAATCACTGACATCTAAACATTAACAGATCCTGGGCCCAGACAGCTAGAGAGGGGGAAAATGATCTCTGCAGATGGGCCAATGACCCCACTGTGGGGCTCAGAAACAGCCAGCATACGCACCCATATGCTGCATGATGGTGTCTCCAAAACCACTACCCTTGCTCCCCAGAGTCTCAACTTTCATTTAAAATAAAAAGCAAGTCTCTGTTATGCTTGCAAAGGAAATCGCAAAACCGTGACCCAAGTGTAAGTGAGCGGAGGGAGCCTGGAACAACTCACAGAAGTGTGAACTGCCCCACTTGTGAGGGTCAATTAAATGGCCGTTTTGTTAGCTGTGTTTGTCATGGCTCATCTGAGAACGGGGAGGGAGGGTCACAGATTGGCACAGTTCCCCAATGATTTTGGTGCTACAGGCGGGTGGTTTTTGGGAAATGCCACATTTCCCTCCCCCTCAATCAGCCCAAGCACTTTGGTCAAGCCCAGGGGGACAGTCAAACAACCCCAGCCCAGGAGGGGCCAAGCAACATCACACCCCTATTTTGATTATCTGCACAACCTGAGCGGGTCTGGTTTTGGTGACTCATGGGGCGGAGCTTGGAAGAGTTCCACCTTCTTTTTCCCCTCTTCCCCCTTCCTTCCCCCCCAAGGGAAGGAATGGAGAGCAGACCAGAATTAACCCTTCAGATCTCTTTGTGCACAACGTCCTACCTTGCACTCTCTGAGTCTGCAGAGATCCAGAGAGCTGTGAGTGAGCCCTGTAAAAACAGCACAGGTGCATGCTTTGCAGCAGACTCTAGCAGCTGCCTTCACTGGGGCCACATTCACAGAACTATCCTCCCCACTCTAGAACCTTGAGAAATCATGCTCCCCCCGCTTCCCAAGTCATGCTCCTTACACCGTCCCCTCTTCTGCAAACACCCTCTCGCCTGCCACATCCCCAGTGCCGAGGCAAGAGTTAAAAATGTAAGAGATTGAAGGCAAAGCTCAGCTGCAAAGCACAGAACCCAAAGCTAGAGCCAAGAATCTACAGCCCAAAGCACAGAGCCCAGAGGCTAGAATCCAAAGTACAGCACATAGTCTAGAACCCGAAGCCAGAACCAAAAGCACAGTAGCCAGTCTAGAACCCAAAACCATAACCAAGAGCTCACAGCACAGAACCCAAAGCCAGAAACCACATAGCCCAGAACACAAAGCACAGTGTCTAGAGTCTAGAACCCAAAGCCAGCAGCAAGAACCTAGAGCACAGAACCCAATGCATAGACAAGGTTGTGGATACAACACCCAGGATAGATCCAACTGACACTAGTGAGAATACATTTTATTTCTGGCCCAAGGCAGTGTTGGTCTCCAGGTATGAGGAGCAAAAACCCCACCCGATATCCAAGGCACCCACCAATACATACCCAACTCAGAGAGGTTCTGAACTCTCCTGGGCAAGCAAGCAACAATAAGTTCAAGTCACTCCACCACCTTTGCTTGACTGCCACCCCACCGAGCCAGCACCCCAGGAAACCCCCACATTTCCCCACACTACTTACAGTTTGGAGCCAGCAACCCTGGGGGCTAGCTTTACTTGAGCCCTACGGAAAGTCCAATAATCAGAGCTACTATTGCGAGCAAGACAACCACTACCACAATGATAATTATCATTTTCTGGAGGAGGGGACAAAAACAAAAACAAAACAAAAAAAAGGATAAAACCATAAACAGCAATGAACAGCAAATGAGAAAACAGATATGGCTCCCCCTGCACGTGTCCCTTTAAGAGACAGCTATTTCAGAGCTGCAGAGCACTGATTTCAGCCACCCCTTTAAGGCAGCATAGCAATTTTTTAAACACCTCAAAAATATTCCCCACCAGAATCTTTCAGATTAAAAAAAATCAGACCATATGCATTTCTAGGCTTCTTAATTTTTGTCCCCCTCTTAATTTAATCCAGTCCCAGCCTTCTCCAGCTAGGGATGCTGCAGGGAATGGCATAAAGGCACTGGGAGCACACAGCTACTCCAATCCTAGCCTCCCTCAATTGGGGGTACTATTGGGAATGGTGAGCAGAGAGGTACTCCCAGCCTCTCCTAGCATGGGGTGCTGTAGATAGCCGGGCAGGACTACTGGCTGTGGGGGGAGCTCCCTGCTACTCCAGTCCCAGCCTCTCCCAGCAGGGGGCACTGAAGGGGGAGCTCAAGTTACTCCAGCATTGACTCCTGTCAGCAGGGGGTGCTATAGGTAATGGTGTAGAGGTGTGGGCTGCGGGGAAGTTCCCAGCCTCCCCCCTCCCCTTGAAGGCACTTTAGGGAACAGTGCAGGAGCTCTGGGGACCGAGCCTGGCTCATAACCACATTTATCAAGACGTACAAAGAAGAAGGAAGGGCCAGGGAGGAGCCCGGAGCTAGCAAAGTGAAGCAGGGAGACAGCCCAAGCAGTTACCTCGAAGAGGGATGCAGCATGGCACGTCGTACGTGGAGGGGCTCAGTGTCCGGGCTGTGGGGGACAAGTGAGGGAGGAGGAGAAGGCTGTGAAAGAAGAGCACAGGAAGCTGGAGCAAGGGATGGGGAAATATTACTGAGAAACCAAGGGGTCACCGGGGCCCCTGGATTTGCTCTGGACCTTTGCCAGCTAGACCCATTGGCCCAGGTGCTCAAAAAAGTATTCAGGTGGCTTACTCCCCTGGAAATCATAATACCTTTGAGAGCCATTGGTCCTTTCCAAGCAGGGAGGGGGCTGGAACAGGGATGGGATGGAGAGATGGAGACCAGCAAGGTCAGAGAGGGGTGGGATGGAGGAGGATGACTGGAGGGGACTGAGAAGATTTTGGGAGGTGGGGGGGGGAGGCTGAGGGGGTGGAATGGGAAAAGGACTTTGACTGGTGGGTGGGTGCTGGATGCAGTGAGGCTTTGGTTGATGGGATGGGTCATGGTTGGATGGGTGACAGAAGAGTGAGATGGGAACCTTTGATTGACATGCCTGGGGACTGGACAGGGAGCTGTGATTGGTGGTGTCGAGGTGATGGGGTGGGGCTTTGGTTTATAGGATGGGTCACGATTGGATGGATCTGAGAAGGGTGAGATGGGGGCTTTGACTGGTGAGTGGAGGTTGGATGGGGGACTGTGATTGGTGGGATGGGAGACTAGATGGGGTGGGGTTTTGGTTGGTGGGATGATTCAAGATTGGATGGCATCTGAGAAGGGTGAGACGGGACCATTGATTGGCAGGAGGTGGAGACTGGATGGGGCTGTGATTGGTCGTTCTCACCCTTCTGGCCTCGCTCTGGTATTTCACAGCCTTTTTGGTGTCAGCCACGGCCCGTTCCACAAAGCCCACCGACTGGTCCATGTTGGTCTCTATGCGGTCGATCATGGCTCCCTTGCGGAGGAAGAGAGAGATGGCGGGAGCGGCAGAGAGTGGCGGAAGTGGCAGGGAGGCAGAAGAGAGCAAGAGAGCCAGCGAGGGGGCCTGGGCACAGATTGGGACTTGGGGGACTCACCTTGTGTGCCTTTTTCTTGTATACCAGAGCCTTTTTGGTCTCATCGCGCGCTTTCTCTATGTGGTCTACCGCATGCATCATGTTCAGCTCTATGTTATCTAGGACCCCGCCCTGTCAGGGGAGCAGGAAGAGAGGAAACTCAGACATCTAAAACACCCACAGCACCTCCCACCATGCACATGCTCCTCCCATCACGAGATCCCAGCCCGGCCCTTGGAGGTCTCCCCCTCTGCTCAGGTGAGCAAGGCAGTCATTCCCACCGCCCCCGCCCTTCTCCTGGGCACAGAGGGGTTGCCATTGGGTTGTAGGGCTTCAGGGTCAATCCACCGCCTCTCCCTGGGTCTGATGACAGGAAAGGGGCATACTCACCGTTCCCCGACTCACACGCCACCTCCTCGGCATTGCATTGAGGGTAGAAAACAGAAAGGGGGCCTCAGAGATAGACACTGATCCCTAAGTTGCAGTGAGAGGTGGCTGCACTCCACAATGCAGGGGCCTCAGGAGACTGAAATGGGGGGCTTTCCCCCAGGGAGAGACAGAGCAGGGATTGGGCCCTGGCTGCAGGAGCTCTGTGGGGTCGAAGGAAAGCCAGGCACTGAGCACTGGGACAGGACGACAGACCTCTGGGTCTCCATGACATCAGCCATGTCACCAAGATCACAAACTCACTCCCACCCAGCTCCCACATCCGAGGTACCACCAACAGAAAATCCCTGGCTGCTAGAAGGCACCAGTGTTCAGTTGCTTAGTTACCCATTCCAATTCCCAGTTTGGCTGCTCAGTCCCTCCATTTCCCCCATCCCTGCATTGCTTGGTTACATGGTTTTCACCCTGCCCAGTCTTGTACAATCCTTTTTTTTCCTACTCCCAGGTTACATGGTCATCATGCTGTCTCCTCCCATGGTTACTCAGTTACCAAGGCTTACCCCACTTTCCCCTCCTGTTACACAGCTGTCACCTTCATCCCGGTTGCTGAGTTACCCTGTTCCCTGCCCCAGGTTACATGGTTATTCTATTCCCTGACCCTGGTTGCTAGGTTACCCCTTCCTGTCCTGGTTGCTAGGTTACCCCTTCCTGTCCTGGTTGCTA